CAAGCTTCAGGCTCCTGTATGGGCGCTAGTTCGTGTCCTAGCTGCTCTGCTTCTCACCCAGCTTCCTGCTTGTTGCCTGGGAAGGCAGCGGAGGCTGGCCCAGAGCCTTGGGGCCTCTCAGGTGTGGGCGACAGGAAGGTGATGGTAGGAGTTCTTGTGGCATTCACATAGCCTGTGCCCTCAACAAGATGTTTATGTGATTGTGCCCGATCTCGAGGTTGACCGTCAGTTCCCAACGTTTTTGGAAATGCTCACTCTAACAACCATTTATTCCGTCAGTTCTGTCCACCCCCGTGTGCTGCTTAGTGCTATTTACATTTTATTTTCACCAGCGGAGTGATTGTGTCTAGAACTCCTGGCTCTTCAAAGCTTCCTGTCCCATAGCAAAGTGTTACTGCAGCAGTGACTGCTCTTCTTGGGCGGGAGGCGGGAGCGGCAGGTGGGCTGATGCACGGCTCGGGTGCTGCCGTGGGTCTGTGTTTTCCTGCTGGTGCTATTGTGCAGGCGTTAGAGGACAGGACGCAAGCCTCATCTTCAGTCCACACCCACGAGGAAGCTGCTGTGGTAGCTTTCGGGTATCAGGGCTCGGACCCACACCCTTACCTTGCTCTTGTCTGCAGAAATCACCAGACAGGCCTCTTTGCCTCTGCTCCTCTCCCCATGCACGAGGGGGCTTCGGCCAGAGATAAGTTCACTCATGCTGAGTGTTTAGATGCCTGCGGACCGTTCCCCCTCAGATCTGCTGTTCTGGAAAAGATCCGTGGTCACTTGGAGCAGACAGGACGTGCAGCTGTGTGGCCAACTGTGCTGGGCACTGGAACTGAGCCCCTTCGGGTTCTGCCTGGGACTGACATTTAGCGTGACCTCTGGACAAGAAGTTAATTTCTGCGGTATTAGAATGGTGGAGATGAGCCTGTGCCGCTCCTCTGGCTGTGGCATCTGGGCTGGTGAGGATCTGTGTCTCCAGGGCCGCCTCCTGGATCTGGGCCCATTCCATTCCAGAATCAACTTTAGTCTCCTACAGAACTGGAAATTGCAAACCGAGCCCTTGCCTGGAGTACGCGATGTGTGCGGGCCTGGGCTTCCTCCTGCAGTTCTGTCCAGAGCTTGCTGTGATCTTTGCATGTAAGACAGGCACTCTTGGTTTCTCCATCTAGCAGAGGCTTAAAGTTTGGCTCTCACAGCACCGGGGCCTGTGAGCATGCCACTTGCCGGCCTGTGAGTGGGCTCATTCCTGACTTGTCTGCTGGGAAGTTCTGTGTCATGGTATTGTTTATTTTGTGTCAGTCACTGGTGCAAGCGGGCACCTCCGAGCACTGGTGCAAGTATTGCCCTGGCCTTTACAGAGCAGGAATGTGAGTCAGATGGAGGCCCGCCTTGCCCAGGGACATGGCAGCCTGTGCCAACACGCCCCAGGACTCCCTCATCGAAGTTGCGCCTTGAGAAGCTCGGGCACAGTGGCGACTCTGTCCTGTCTCTTTCCGTAATGAGAAGCACTGCGCTGCTGCAGAAGCACGGAGCTCCTGGATCTGATGTAGATGCCTGAATTCCACTCTGAACCTTGGTGTTCATTGCACTAGCTAAGCACAAAAGCACAGTAAGCCTACCCAGCTGATACAATACCAGCCAGACCTGCTTAGAAACACGATCCTGAAACCTTAGAAACAGGAGGACCGTTAGAGGTACCCGGTCGGAAAGCCCCTTCTGCTGTCTCTCTGCTGGGGAAACTGAGGCCCACATGGTTTTATGACCTTGACATAACCTTTCAGATGAGAAAGGACAGCTTGGAAAAGTGTGAGCCCCAGGGTGGATCTCCTCACTGCGACTTGCTCTCCCGTGGTGATAGAGGCATTGCCAGAGAGCTACTCAGCAGCTGAACTGATTTTAGAGCTACTGCGTGCACAGTATAGCAAGGAAGGAACAGTGTGCCGTTGATCTGGACGTGGATGAAATTATGGAACCAATTATGTTTTACAAATCAGCTCAAGACAGCCACCTCCGGACTCAGCCGATCCTGGGATCTCTTCCTTAAGGACCGGCTGACAGCGCTGCCATTTCTTTCTTTTTTTTTTTTTTATTGTTGCTTACACTGTATTATGTAGTACAGTTTTATAGGCGCTGGGGATTCCCCCCACCCCTCCCCATATCCCTCCCCCCATGGTGGATTCCTCCACCTTGCTGCATAACCATAGTTCAAGTTCAGTTGAGATTCATTGCTTGCAAACACATGCCTAGCATAAAGTTCAGCGTCTTATTGTCCAGATAAGTTCAGTGGCCTCCTGGGGAGACCTTCTATGGTCTGAAGATAGGTCTAACAGAGTAAAGATCCGGTCGGTTAAAAGCCCCAACAAGGCCTCAGTATCAATATACAACATTATGGAATTAATTGACATAGTATTGGGTAAACAATATGTTAAAAATAATGCAAGTTCCATTCTTCGAAACATCTGGGTTGAGACAGTATCAATGACAGGTTCAAAAAATAACAAACAACCAGGGAGATACCATGATCACGAAGGTGGTTTTCCCAGGGCGAGGCTTATCCATTGCACTAAAGCTCGTTGCACTTGCTGGAGGTGAGATTTGAGAGGTGAGCTGGGAGAGGGGATGAAGACGCTGGCTTGAGGCTTCTCTGTTTGCTCTCGCTCCCTGTAAGGCCTGCAGTTGGCAGCCTGCGTGCTCCACGGCGGAGGAATGCTCTAGGAGATCGGACAAAGATGTGCGAGCCCTACTGCGGCTCACCTTTCCTAGGGCCTGGAGCAGATCCTCCCCTCAGTTGACTTGTCTGTTAAGTGGGCACTTGAATAGCTCGAGTTTCTCACCGTGGAGAACAGGGGCAAGTGTCATACTTTGGAAAATCAGCAAAATGGGAAATGATTCTGAAGCCTGGAGGATGCTGTTGCTCGAGGGAGTTGGGACGGTCTCGGCGAACCTGTCACTACCCCGGGACAATCAGCAGCTTTATACACTGTGCCGCCCCGACGCGCGTTTCTCAAAGACTGTCCATTTCGTGTAAATTGCTGAATCTGCTGACCCAGAACTGCTGAGTCATGACATGGTCATCTTTGCTGTGTGGACCCCCGCTTCCCTTTATTTGTGAGAACTTGGATGGACATGACTGTGGAGCTTGGTGTTTTCACTGACCAGCGAGTTCCTGCCTTTGCTGTAGTGGTTCAACTCCCTCCTGCTGGTTTCACTGATAAAAATTCCCTGTATGAGGTCAGGGCATTAGGGCAGCAACTGAGGAAAGCCCACCTGCCGAAGCACAAGCACGTGTAAGCATTTGTTCTTCACTGATTGGAGCACCGAGCCTGCCTTGTGTAGGGGCCCTGCCGGTGTCCAGCCAGGTGGTCTCCTGTCCTCCCCTTCCTGCATCTTGTGCTCCCTGCAGAGTGTGGCCCCTGCGTGTTTGAGCCTTCTTGCCCTGCAGGGAAAGTCTGAGCTGTTTCTTTGATCTCCCTCCTGTAGGATGTGCTTCTGATTTTGCAGACCTGAATTGATTGTTCTTTGCTTTCTGAGACTCACAGCCATCAGGTTGTGGGATTGTTCTTTGTCGGAGATAGCACTGTCTCCCCTGGCGTGGGGCAGGTGACAGGCCTGGGGAGGGCGTTCAGCCTGGGTCACACAGTGCTCATTGCAGGAGATGGGGTTCCAACGTGGGTCTCACATTCAGCTTGTGTGTGGGTTTGCAGTCTTCTCAGCTGGCAGCATAAGGCAAGTGGAGCTCTCTTCTGCCCGGCTTGCTACCGACAGGGCTTTGAAGCGGGTGCTGCCACCTGTGCCATGGCATTCTCAGCCTGGTGTGTTCACAGGCAGTTTCTATGATTCTTGCTTGTCACATTTTTATGGCGGGAGGGTGCAGGAAGGTCCTGCTGCTGTTTGCCCACAGCCGAATGGCTCCGGGCAGAGGCGTCCATGTGACATGCCGCTCCTTCTTGGTGGCAGAGGCGAGCAGCAGCTGCCAGCCACCGTCGGCGCTGGTCCCTTCTCCCCATGCTGTGCCGGTGTCCTGTCACTCAGGGAGAAGGAGTGTCTGCCTTCTGATTTATGCTTACTGACAACGAGGTGTCCACAATGATTCATTACCCTGCTCAGAGTCGTTGCTGTGGTGCCAACCTCCGTCACCCGGGCGGCTGCAAACGGTGCCCGGTGTCTTGCCAGAGAACAGCAGCTCCACCGCCTCCCTTTGAGCCAGGCGAGGCTCAGCTTGTCTCGGGTGGAGAATTTCAAAGATTTATTTTTGCAGTCTAGATGTCTGTGTGTAAGAGGGCTAGCTGTTTCTTATTTGTAAGAAGAGTAGAAGCAACTTTAAGTTCCTTCATGGTCACCTCTCGGGTCTGTGGACAGATGTGCTGGTCTGGTCACTCTAGCTGCAGCTCTGAGTCCACCCTCAGCAGCTGACCGCATGTGGAAAAGGATGGAAGCGCAAAGATGGGTGTGTAAGCTCTGCGTTACAAGGACTCCAAATATCCAAGTAGGAGGGACAAGCTAGCAAGCATCCGGATGACTTTGTGGTAACCTTTAGCTGGCTTTCAAGCATCCTGCTTAGTAAATTTAACTCTTCATAGTACAGTAACGTGGGATGTGAATTTGTGAATGTGGCACCTGTTACACAAGAAGGAACACACATCTGTATTAAGACTTAACAGCCTCCACTCACAGTTTGTGGAGCTCAGGTCGTTCCATTACCTTCCGAGTTCTGCGTAAGGTGCTTGTGCTGTGCCCAATGGGTACAGCGCAGGATGTGGGCCAAGGAGCGAGTGCTTCTGATGTTCCTGTTCAGGAAACAAGTGCATGGAGTGTGACTGCAGAAGGGTGTCCACGTTGCCTCCCATGGCGTGGGTCTGACCTGCTGCCTGGCCTTGTCAATAAAACTTTATCACAACACAGCTGCCGTGCCTGTCCACCTGCTCATCGTGGCCGCTTCGCTGTCCCAGCAGCAGAGCTGACAAGTTGCAGTAGTGCCTCACATGTTTATTTTTTATTTTTATTACTTTCAGATCTGTCAGCCTGCTCCCAGAGGAAGCAATCAAAGCAACTGTGATCAGTGACCTTGCCCTTGACTGAATCTAGACTCTGTGTCCAAGTCCATGCATGTCGTCATGAAGCAAGTGCTTAATTCAAAAGCAGTGAGGCAAGCAAGGACTCGTCCCACTTATCCACAGAGCGCAGTCCAGCTCAGAGTAAGTCCGGGGACTATAAGCTGATCCTTACATGTATTCTCAAAAATATTGTAAGACTTGGGGTCTTTGAAAAACGTTTAAATGATTGAACTAGGTAACATAATTTCCTTGGAAATTTATGCAATGAAAATTAATCAGAGCTCTCTTCAGTCTCTGTGTCCAACTTACCCGTTTGCATTTTGTCATTTTTTATGTGTCTGAATGGGAGAGAGGCAGAGGTTTGCCCCTCCGCTTCCCACTCTCCCCTCCCCATTTGCCTTAAGGTCGGGCCTGCGCCGGGACCAGGCTGGCAATGCAGTCTGTCTGCCAGGGGGTCGGCCAGGCTCTGACCGCTGCAGTCAGCTGGAGACGAAGCCCACCCCAGGGCTCTACCCTCCAGCCTTGCACCCATGGCCCGACTGCCTCCTCCTTATTCTCTCAGCGTGGAACCTTCCCGCTCTGCTCGGAGCTACTGTTCCCACAGTGTCTGGAAAATTACAAAGCTTGCAGGACGTATGCCACTCGAGTGGGTTGAGGTTTTATTTGATGATTAGAGTGTAACAAGTCAATGCATTCAGTTTTTTTTTTCTATTTATTTATGAGTGAATGACTGAAAGGCAGGGAGAGAGAGAAATCTTCCATCCTTTGGTAGTCTCTCTGCTGGAAAGGGGCCAGGCTGAAGTCAGAAGCTGGTAATGCAGCCTTGATGTTCTTAGTGGGTAACAAGATGCCAACTGGCTGAGGTGTCGGAGAAGCAGGAGGCCTCTCGGGAGTGGGGCAGCACTCAGATGGGGCCTACCGGGATGGGTGGGTGGCCACTCTCAAGCGGCTGCTCCATTTGCCTGCCCCGAGAGTTTGGACTCCATGGAATGATGCCCGCCCTGTTCTGGAGCCAGGATTTTCCCGTTAGTGTGTTCCATTTCCTGGGCTGTAATTACGGATTCTTCAAGAGCGCCGATGGCTTGCTGTAGCCAACCGACACCTTGAATTCCTTGTCGTTTCTGTTCATTTGTTTCCTTTTCTCCAAGTTCTTGTATATTTTGGTTGTTTAGCTCTTTACTGGTTAGTATCATTTTTTAATTTAGGAATTCCTGCATTAAACATGGTCCTTGTTGCCCATGACTGGTTTACTCCTCCCATAGTAATATCTTCATCTCTAGCTTGTTTCTTCAGTTTGCATCCCCTTGCCCCGAGTCTTGATTCCATTGTGTATTCTTGCCACAAGCCGTGGGCTCTTTGACGGCAGCAGCCGTTTCTGACATGTGGCTGAACTGTGTTTGTGCTAACGTGAACACGTGTAGACTCTGAGCCCCCGCACGTGATGCCTTGATGCTGCTGTGGGACAGAGCACGGATGAGGAGACGCTGCACCCTGAAAATGTGAGCAACAGTGTGGTGCAGTGACACGTTGCCATGCCCACGCAGTACGGGCTTACTGTGTACCTTGCTGGCCATGTGGCGTCTGTGCTCATCCCGGCAACCCACAAGCACCTGAGACACCTGGTTGGTGTGTTACTCTGCCACGTCAGGGACCACCGTCACACACGTGGCCCAAGCCTGAGTGAAATGTGCTTGGTGATGCCCAGCCGTGTGGTGTGGAAACCCCTCGAGGGCTGTACCCCACCTGGGTGGCGTTCTCCTGTGGGCTGGCTCGGTGTTGTTTATTCAGACACAGATCGGCAGATGTGTAGCCCGGTGTTGGGATAGATGCTGAGTGGGGCTGGGTGAATGGCGGCGCAGCACGTGTGGGTGCATATCACGCAGTCCTTCTTAACTTTTGCATCTGACCTTGAGGAGTGCTTAGCCCCGCTGGCGGGTCACTTGGTGGGCACTCAGTCCTGTGACCTCGAGGCTGTGGCTCCCACGGCCCACTCAGTCCTGGGGTGACTTCATTCCATGTCTGCAAGAATGATGACGTGTGTGTGTCGGGGGAGGGTGGGAAGGGAGGGGCGGCGCAGGGCGGGAAGGAGGAAGAAGAGGGCTGTTAGAGAAGCAACAGCAGACACCCGGCCCGTCAGCACTGCCATCTCCCTCTCTCCTGGCTCTGAACCGTGGAATCGTGTTCGTTTATTAGTCTGTTTAGAAGTCACCTAGGCCATGGCATACCCAGACAGGCTGTGCCTCCTTGTCCCTCCTCTCACCATTCACTCCAGTGTCGCTTCACTTTCTCTCCAGTGTCCTTCCTCCACCCCCCCCCCCCCCCCCCGCAATTTGGAAGTGTTTTCCTATGGCTGTAATTTCTCTGAATTTTGATGATAAATTTGTGTTGATTCCTCTGTATCAGTAGATAGGATTATTGAGCTGGCTTCTGCCTTCACTGGTTGATGTTTTGAACATTAAATGAGCCTTCCGTAGCTCAGATAAATGGTTTCTTGATATTTTACTTGGTGCTTATCATATACTGATGATGAGGGATTTTTTGGATTGATTTTAGTTGAAATAAAATTTCTGTTTTTTGGCAAAGCATGTTTTGAAGTAGGTAGACATTGTGCAGTGGTAAGTGAAATGAATGCATGGCATATTTAGGTTTTCAGGTAAACGCCTGAATCCCAGCTCTGGGGATCTCAGGAATCCAGCATGCTGCCGTGAACCATGCTCGCCTGTTGTACTGAGTGCTGCTGACTGAACACGTGGGTCTCCTGCCCCTCGTTTCTGGGTCCCCACACCTGCAGCCCTGGGTGGGCACCCTTCTCCCTCTGCTCTGGTGGGTTCACTTCTCCCGGATGCCACTTGGGGCTGTCGTCTGCCTGTCTGTCTGGGACCCCTTAGTGTCCATCCTGTGTGCTTCCTGTGTGCTGTCCCTTTTCAAGCAGGACTCGTATTCCACCGTGCATTTTCTTCACTCATTCGTCCACCGGCGGCCGTGTCGGTCGGTGACACACCTGGCCTGCTGAAAACAGGGCACTCAAGACACCGCGTTTGCTTTTCATTTTTTAAAGATTTATTTGTTTTTGTTTGAAAGGCAGATTTTTAGAGAGAGAGGAGGAGAGATGGAGAGAGGTCTTCCATCCCACGGTTCCCCCCCAAACGGCTGTAATGGCCAGGACTGAGCTGGAGCCAGGAGTGTTCTCATAGTTAGATTGGCTCCCATGTGGGAAGCCAGTGTCGCAGGAGAGGATTAGTGTGCTGTGCCAGCCCCTGCGGACTCTCTCTTGGATGTACTGATTTGCTTTCCTTTGGGGTTGCTGGTTTTTTGAAGAAGCCCCTCGATTCCCAGCATGGCTGTGCTGATGTGACATCCCCACGAGCAGCGTGCACGCGCCCGCGGCTCCCCACGTCCTCACGGACACTCGCTTTCGTCTTTGTCGCATCAGCGCAGCTTTAGTTTTGCATCTCCCTGATGGTCAGTCACGAGCACGTGCCTTGCACACCTGCCCGCCGTTTGTCTGTCTCGGTTGCAGAAACATCGATGCAGAATCTTGGCCCACTTTGTGTTATGCTTGATTTTTTTGTCACTGATGTGATTGAGTCCTTTACGTGTGCCGGATATGGAGGTCTGGTCTCATCTCCAGCTGGCGTATTTCCTCCCGTCCCGTGATTGTCTGTTCACCGCGTTTGTCTGTGAATGTTTTGTTAAGCTTTCACGTGGGAACTGTCGGCCTGCAGCTTGCCTCCTCTATACGTTCAATCGGGTTTTTGTTGTTACAGGAACGTTCTTCTCATGGAACGAGTCTTCCTGTCTCTCCTTTCTGGAGGAGATTATGGACAGCTAGCGTTGCTTCTGCCTGAAACATGTGGTGAGCTTTGGCCATGAGTCAGCGAGTCAGTTTCTTTCCTAGCCGCGAGTCTGTTTAAGCTCGTCTGTTTCCCTTCGTGTTTTTGGTGATAATCCCACTTTGTCTAAAGCTGCAGCTGTGTGGGGACTGCATCTTCATGCAGTGTTACTTCCACCCCAGCCCGAGGGTGGCGGCCGCGGCCTCTCGCTGTCCACGGCCCTGATTGGAAGCTTTGTCCTGGGCTTGCTTGGCCAGAGGTTCAGCATTTTCCTTTATCTTTGCAGAGAACAAGTTTCTGATTTCACTAAAGTTTTTGTCTTCTCCGCTGTGTTAGGTTTCGTTGATTTGCACTCTGCCTTTTCTTACTTCTGTCGGCTTGGATTAGACTTAAATTACTGTATTTCCTGTTCTTTCCTGTGGCAGATGAGATTGGTAATATTGACACAGATCATTTTCTAATCCCTGCATTGGAGGCTGCACTTCTTCCTCTGGACAGTGCTGCTACACGCTCTAGATTTTGGTCATTTGTATTTCATCTTTGTTTAGCTAAAAACATGCTGAATTTCTCTGAGAATTCCTTGGCTCTTGGTTACTTGGATGTGTTTTGTCTGCGGGTGTGTAGGATACCTGTCTCGCCGGCACTGCAGATTTCCAGTTCAGCCCTGTGGCGGGTGGAGCTCGCGTGGGGTCGAGTTTGCATGCTCTTGCAGGAGTGAAGCTTAGATGTTAAGACGCGGAGTCGAGACTCTGATGTACCAGTGCGAGACGAATGCGTGTGCTGCTGTAGCTGGGCACAGAGTTCCATAACTGTCATTTAGATCGAGGTGAAAGATCGTGCTGCTTGAGTCATTTCTATTCTTACTGATTTTCTGTCTTCTTGATCTATCAATTACTAAAAGTGAGGTGTTGATGCCTCCAGCTGCAGGAGTCAGTTCATCCATTTCACCTTGTAGTTCTATCCATTTTTGTCTCAACTTGTAATATTCTCTTGCTTGTTGCGTGAACGTTAAAGTCGCTGCATCTTCCAGGAAAATTCACCCCTGATCATTCACAAATAACCCTCGTTATCTCTGTTTTGTCTAAAACTAACATGTAGATAAATTTCCATTTTGTAAAAACAGTAATTTAGAGTCTTAGGAAGGAAGAGAGAGAGAGGGAGAGAGACCTGCTGGCTCGCTCCCCAAAGGCTTGCTACCCTGGGCACTGCTAGCGGCCTCCCATGTGGCACGGTCCCTCTCCCACATGTCCACCTGCACACACTGCCCAGCCACTGCTCACAGCGCAGCCACCCGGGGTGTCAGTGTCA